TAACCATCTAAAAACAATAGCTGGGGACATACAGTGGTACCTCGGTTCACGAACTTAATTGATTCCATGATTCTGGTTGCAAACCGAATTGGTCACGAACCGAATCAAATTTCCTCATAAGGTTCAATGTAAATACGGTTAATCCAATCTGAACCATATGTTTTTTTTTTTAAACCACAAAAACATGAAACAAAGTACAGTACGAATAGAGAGAACGCTAACCTTGCTTGATGCGACTTCTGGTGTGGAGGACAGGAAGGCGGGTGGGGAGGCAGTTATTGCTTGGAGGGAGAGTCCCCCTCGCCTACAGAAAGCCACGACCACGTGTCAGAGCAGGGAAGATGGCCGCGGGTCGTGTTCATCACCCGATGCGGAGTGCGCGAATGGAAGCAAAATTTTGCGAACGGTGCTGTTCGTGAACCGAATTGTTCGTGAACAGAAGCGTTCGTGAACCAAGCTATTACTGTACCTCTGTTTCACTTGCTTTGAATAAAGAGAGTGTGTGCCTTTGGCCTGCATTTTGTGAATTATATTCAACGTTTTTTGTGATTTTTTTGGTGATTATATTCAACTGCACTATTCACTGTTTGTAATTGTTAGAAAATAGGAAATTGCTCATGTAAGAAACTGGTGAGAATCTTGGAGATACAGAAGCTGTTTCAGATATAATGTGTCCTGAAACCCGTGGGATCAGCTGGCGTCCTACTTGTTCTGCAGCGAGTCTGTAATCTTTTCCTCTGAGATGAATGAATCATAAACAGGTACAAAGAATGCACGTTGTGATGGAGAGTTGACGAACTCAGTAAAATTAATTCATTAGATAACTCGAATTCTGACTCAGATTATTGTAAAAATTCCACCGAAGTTCTCTTCGGGATTCTGCAATGATCTTTCTCAGCAGTTCCTACAGCTTGCCTTTGCTTCAAATTTCGTGAGGCCAATTCCGGAAACATTTTGCTGCAGCAATGACCATGTATTTGGCCCTTTGCTTAGGCAATGAAAAAGAACCATTTTCTTCACTTTTACCAACCCAGCCTTGATGGAGGTGGCTGGGGATGGTGAGAAGTGTAGTCCAAACTATCTGGAGGGGGCCATCAGCTTTGGGGGAAAAAAGGCAGAAAATCTCCCCACTCCGGGTGTTACAATTAGGGCTTGCTCTGTGTTTTCTTTTAGTTTGAAAGTGGATGTTAACGGTTATACTGAGATGCAGACTTTTATATTTTTGTGTACCCCTCTGGGCTCTGTGAAGGATTGCAAGTGTGTTATTATTATTTACCATAAGCTCACACAGAAATACACAAACAGAATCGTACGGAAAGGGGAGGAGAATTCTCCCCCCACCTCAACCCCATCCCTCGCTTCAACATTAGAAAGGAAGTGGGATCCTCTATATGTTTTCTTTCAATGACCACAAGATGGTGCATGCGGTCCTGCAACCATTTTTATCCTCATAGCAACCTTGTGGAGTAGTGTTTTTCAAGCTCAGCTACTTTAAGATGTGTGGACTTCAACTCCCAGAATTCCCCAGCCAGCCATGCTGG